TGCTTTGCTTTTCTTGACTGGTCTTGTGACCTCTTGTTCTCCCCCACTTTGCCTATGGGGGTGTGTCAAAATGTTATGATGCTTATATTGTGTAGGCTGTAGTGGGGTAGCCCATAAGGGGTACAACCCAATTAGGGTTAGTACTTGTGCCCAACTTCTGCTCAGTGCATTCATTCTCGTTCTAGTTTCTAACATAACGAGTTACCAAACGTGTTAAGCGAGTTATGAAACGCGGTAAGCGAGTTACGAAACGCGTTGAAATCGTTACCATACGCGTTATAGTGCCCCATGTAAGTTACCATTGACATATTTTCCCAAGTATGTGCATGTTGTTCAAAAGAAATGTGTGCTGTGCATTACAGTGAGTAAAGTGTTTCAAAATAATAAATGTGTTACATTTTATGAAACGGTTCCGACAAAATCATATTCATATCGGCAAAACAAGGTGGTTATTAACGGCCCTCCGCGTCTTTAGCCTCAAATCAACCTCCCATTGTTTTCTATAAAACTCGATGTGGTAGACTCCGAGTGCAAAAATATGTGAGCGGAGATGACTGATGGTGAACCATACATGGATATGGTCGGGGGATGTTAGTGTTTTTGGAGGTGCACCATCAACATGAAGTCTTGCAAAGAGAAAAAATTATGCTACAGATTTGCCTTCTATATTTCATATGTACAAAGGAACTGCTAAGTGATACGTTGTTAACCTTCACCAATTAACAGCAGCAGGATTAGCTTATGAGTGAGAATTTATTATCATGCATGGTGGAGTTATTGACGGTGCTACCATATTTGGAGCAAGCACCAGAGAGAAAGGCCTACGAAAAACGATGGGGTAGGGGGGGAAGAAAACAAAGCAGCAGGGAAGAATAAAGTACAAGTTAATGCTTTCATGTCAGACGCAAATGACTAAACGCTACCCTTCCTCAATAATGCATCCCACCCCGCTCGTAGGTGTGCCTGCTATGTGCTGCATCCATGCCATGCAATACCAAGCCATGCCATGCCATCCCAAACCATGGCGCGACATGCCATGTCATGCTTAGCCATGGCATGGCAGTAGCCCATTGCGGCGCACCTCCTATTGATGAAAGAATCAGATAGCGGTGTTGTTGTTGTTTGTTTGTTTGTTTGTTTGTTTTTTTTCTCTCTGAACAATTGATTTTGGAATACTGGCTTTTGGGTGAGGGATAATAAGGATGAATGGACAATGAAGGTTCTAACAGTTTTGTGTTCTATGTTTGAAAATCTAATTAGGGCTTGTTAGTTATCATCAACCCTCACCAATTATCACTTGTTCATGAGTAAAACGTTGTGAATGAGCATGATGTAATATAATTGAATGTCATATGAATGAGGGGATGGAATAAGAGAGGAGAAAATAAAGCAACTAGGACAAAAGAAACAGCAAAATCATGTAGAGTCAGATGAAGAGAAAGAAAGGAGAGCTTCGTCTTTGTAAGGGTCTGATAAATCACCCTATGGGATTGTGTCATTGGTGTCAAATCACGGGTGTGCATGTTAGTGGCGCCCTACCAACCGGATAAACCCAATGTACTTTCTTAAACCGTCATTGCCCGGATAATAGACATATACGGTATGCCTTATCTTGTACATTAGAAAAAAAAAGTTAAGGTTATCTTGTAAATTGAAGGTTTAGGGTGTCTCATAAATCTTGTAGATATACATTTTTTTGTAACACTAATGCATCATGGTAAAACGTTGGTGCAACCACCGAGAGTGCAGATTCGATGAATTTGGTCGAATTCGAGGCGTGTGCAGGTGTCGTCATCATGGTGCATGTGAAACCAGCTGGGAAACTTGCCTGCTGGCAAGATTCTTACCCTGCTGGCATCATTTTCCATTGCTGCGAGTGTCGTTCTGCTGCGAGCAGCACAAAGCATGTGCCTGCGCGAACTTGGCATCAAGAGGACAGCTTGACAGCAATTGAGAGCTGTCAAGAGGTGTCCTCTACGAGGCCATTATCCGTAGAGGAGCGGCGCGGCATAGGGAGACGGGGGGGGGGGGGGGGGGGGGGGGGGAGAGGGGTGTAGTAAACCTGTATGCTCATTTTTCTCATTATCCTCCTCAACTTCACCACACTACTGGCTGAAACATGCATAGGAAGACATGTCCCTCTTTTTCCTCCCCTCGTCCCAACCTGCACCTCACGAACTATGGCCGAATTAACTCACCAGGAGAAAATATCTGCTTAGAAATGGCTGGCACCGAGCCTCAAGAACCTGCATCCATGGTCAGAGGCTCTCGTGCGAGTTTTGGCACAACGCAACAAGACACGGATGCGGATGCGGCGGATGACGAAGACTGGCCCGAGAACGGGCATGATGGCAGTGATTGTCCGACGGCCACACTTGCAGCAAGAATTAACGACGATGAATGGTGGACGAGACCCATCGGTGACGGCGACAACGTGGAGGTGTGGCACGTAGGAGACAACGATGCGGATGTGGCGGCGGCGTATGCGGATGCGGCGGATGCGGCGACGGCGGCAGGTTTAGATGTGGAGGATGCGGTTGCTGCAGGAGTAGCGGATGCGATAGGAGCAGCGGATGCGGTCGGAGCAGCCGATGCAGTTTTCTTTGAAGGAGAGGACGACGACGATCCGTGGTGCCTCACGGACGATGAGGCCCTTTTGTTGAAGAGGCGGGTTCGTCACAAGGTCACAAGGAAGCGCTGCACGATTGTGGTATCGGACGATTCAAGCGAGGAGAATCTGCCGCGCCGCTCACCAGAACCGAGAAGGGCAAGGCCAAGGTGGATGAGGTGCCTGCAAAGGGTTAATCACGGAAGAAATATAAGAAGTTGAGGCAGCCCACGACCGCAAGGAAGGACAACATCTCCGTCAACGAAGTTGGAGGTTCGGATGAAGAGTACGCTGACGCCGCCGGACCCATCCCCAAGTTCCTCGCAGCGCCTAAACCGAAGGACCCCATTCTTGCTAATGCAGATGCTCGGCCTCCATCCCCATGCAGCCGTGGTCAGACAAGGACGCGAAGAAGCTGGAGTGTGCGTGAGAAGGTGAAGTGGGGGCTTCGCTATAAGGAGCTCAGCTCCCTGAAGAAGACTTCACAGAAATCCTCCACCTCCATTGCGAGCATTCGACGCTCGTTGGGGCAAGCAGATTCAGGTGTGTTTCAGGGTGCCGCTAACTGCCGCAAGCTTCTACATGGGGCTGGCTGCCACTCACACCACCCCGACATGGAGGCGGCTCTTTACCGGCACATCTGCCTGGAGCGATCAAAGGGGGTGGCTATTTCGGTGAAGGATACGCAACGTTGGAGCCGTAAGTGGATGAAGAAGCACCACCCCGACAAGAACTAGAACGCATGATCCCACTGGAGTCAACGATTCCGCGACCCTTGGAACCTGGTCATGCGCGTGAAGTCCAAGGTTGGACAGAAGATGTCTCAAGGTGAGCTCTAGAACCCTGAATTCACCCTCTCACTTCTTGGTTGGTAAGTGCCTTCTCATGTTATAATCTCCCATCGTCCCTTGTGTTTTGTTCACGTGGCAGAGCGTGCAAAGGATTGTGAGGCTTTCTGGAAGTTTGTACGGATCAACCGTGCCCGACACAACATCGACCTCTCGCGCACCATCAACGCAGACCAAACCCTGCTCTTCGTTGAGATGCAGGCCAAGAGGACCATTGACCACCGTGGCATGCGGTCTGTCCCAATCCGCATAGCAGGCTACGAGAAGACAAGGCTCACCGTCATGCTTGCGTGCACATTATCAGGAGAGAAGTTGCGCCTGTCGGTGTGGTTCAAGATGAAGAATGCGCCGAAGTGTGATGTTCCTGAAGGTAAGAGGCATGTGGGTTTAGAAACTGCAAATCCATGTGCTGATTTGCGCATGCGGTTCTGACACTTGCAACCCACTCTGTGTCTGCCAGGAGTTGTGGTCCTAGCCCAGGATAACGGGTGGATGGACGAAGAGGTAGTGAAGGCTTGGCTGTCTCAAGCCAGGCCAGGCCGCGAGGCGTGCGATGCTGGTATTGGATTCCTATCGCGGGCGCTTCAAGCCTATCGCACGTACTGCATCACCCCTGCCGTAATCGCTGCGGGCTGCACCAGCTAAATTCAACCCCTGGATGTCTGTTATAGTCATAATAGGCTTGAATGTGCCTAAAACGAAATATAGAGTGCACAGACGTATTTCTGCACAACGGCTTCAAACGTTGATTACGTTCTAGTTAAAGCTTTAAATGACCTGATTCAACTTGTATCTGGAGCGTCTTGACGTCGCCTACAATAAGCAATTTAGATTGCACGATTTCATAAAGAATTGACGACACAGCGTCGGTTTGAACGAACGGTACTATGGCAGCCACTATAGACTTAGAACACAAATTAGGAAGAGTTACGAGTTGGGAATGACTCCCAGCTCCTACAAACCCCAAGAGCCAAGGAATAGTGATGTGGAACAGTGCCACACTGTCCCCAACCACGAAGGGTCTCGAAACTACCCTCCACAAGGGCCTACACCAAGAGAAATGTTACACTACAATAAGTAATGTAACTATTCTCACTATCTTGAAGTTTACCCTTTTGGAGAGCTTCAAATCACTTGAATCTTGAAACCAAGGCTATGGTTCTTCAAGATAAATTCTTCCTTGAGTTCTTGGAAGTCTGCTGCGCACACCTGCGACACGCCGAACGTTCCACACACGACAAAATAGAAAAAACGCACACGACACGCAAACGACGACGTGATACGCGACTAGCGATAACTCGCCATTGACTCGACACACACATTCAACATCATGCCTCATCATTCACACACTATTGTAAGCATGAAATATATATTATTTCATGCCCTCATACCATTCCATGCACAGACGCATGCACGCACACGGACAACAAGCCGAATGCAAACCGTAGGGTTGCACCAACAATGTCTCGACCAACTGGAGCTTCAAGGCCGCGGTGCGAACACGCTGCTGCAGGTGGTTCATGCCTGAAGGCATCAGCTTGAAGATGCCAAAGGGTGAGTACACCATCCCTGCCTTGTCGCTTAACCCATGTTACACCAATATTTACCTTACCTTGAGTTTGCCCTCTCAACCCCCTACAGGGAACCTGAGGAGGCCTCCACATCACCTGGTGCTGCAGTGGATTGTGGAGGCGTGGGAGCAAGTTCCACGCGACATCATCATCAACGCATTCAGGCACTGTGGGATCTCGAGCAAGCTCAACGTGATCGAGAACCACCTGGTCATGTCTCACCTGCATGCGAGGAGCACCACCGACATCTCGGAAGACATCTGTCTGGGGGGAAGCACATGCGACAACATGCACCTGCTTGGGCAAGCTCCGAATGAGGAGGAGGGGGAGGAGGAGGAGGAGGAGGAGGAGGAGGAGGAGGAGGAGGAGGAGGAGGAGGGGGAGGAGGGGGAGGAGGATCTACAGGCAAAGGGCGCCAAGGAGGTCGGTGTGGCAACTAGGCTGGAGCTGCTGTATCCAGAGTCCCCCTGCTACCGCAGAGCCACGGCCAAGGCTGATCGCCTGCTTGAGCCGAGGCAGACGGCCAAGCATGACAGGAAAGTGTCAGACTTGGGAGTGCAGGAGCCTACAACTGCTAGTGCAGATGAAGAGGAGGAGGGTGTGACCAAGGGGTACTAGGTAGATAGAAGTGGCAGGGCTGATTGTATCACGCCTGTACCCATGTTATTGCACTAAAACGGCTTAGAAGACCCCTCCCGTTTATAAGAAAATCCTTCAACCCTAGTCCATTTATAAGACACATATGTCTTAACTCGTACACAAACACTTGTCTGTTACAATCAGAACACCCAAATATAAGTTACACCCCAATTAAAGACACCCCCTGTCTTCAATTCGACACTGTCTTATATCCAGACAATGACGTTACACTAGCCAGTCCATTTTTTGGCAGGGCACTAGTGGTAGATAGGGAGGAACAAGAGGCTTCGGCATAATTACATGTGGGCGAGGCAACGATAAAAAAAAATAGCGCGAAATAGCAAGGAAGTTGTTGTTGGATGGGTAATGAATCGACAGTATAGCCATCCATAATTTCACTCCTTATGCCATCAACATTTGGGTAAGATAATTGCATATGAGATTGGGAGAGTGAGGCTTGGGGATGGAAGGGAATTTGTGTGCCTTCGCTGATGATTGTGTAGGTGGTTGTGATATTTTTCTCTAGCTGGTTGTGGGCTAAGGGCTTGGACAAAATGTGATTGGTGGACTTGTTGTGGGCTAGAATTGAACTCGCACCTATAAGCACCAACAAACCCCCACTACTCACTACAATATCTTTGGTGTTGCTAGTGAGGCACTTTGGTTTCTTGGGGATTGTTGTAGGGCGAGGGTTGGGCTTGTGAACATTGTCAAACTCGCCACTTTTCAGATATCAACTCTTGCTATAGCTATTCTAGATCCAGCCCATGGCTACCAAGTGATTCCGTCAGGATACCCCGTCGCACTCAAATCGCAACAGCGATCGGCCTAGATCTCGGTTGAGGGTGTGTGTTACCATTATGGATATTAGATATCAAGACCTTTCCAACGCGTATCTGCTCATATTTTAGGGAGACGTGAGCGGCACGCAATGGTCCGTCGACGTCGATAGACTTAGTCTCTTATTACGCTATCTAGAAACGCACGCTTTCCATCATTGGCCACTGTAGCCATCAGTCGCATGTTAATGCGCTCAAGGTTATCATGCTGCTGCAAGCTTGGGAGAGCTTTGGTGAGCATTTCAACATCTTGGAGGTGAGAGCGTACTGACTGCACTTCGACCTCCTCCTGGCGCATAGCATCCCGTACAGAGTGCTAAGCCACCATAATGTGCTTGTTGCGCTGATGGAGAATGAGTATGTGGGCAAGGGAGACACCCGACTCACAACAATGGAGTAGCCACCCTATCACCCAGATGCATCCAACCAATAAGCTCCTCAACCAAATGGCATCCCTGGCCCCCTCCGATAGGGCCTTGTACTTAGCTCCAGTATTGCTGCAGGCAACACTGCCTTGTTTTTTGCAATACCAGCTAATATCTTCCCCGCTCAACTTGAAGATATAGGCAGAGTGACTTTTGCCATCAGCCTCACCAGCCCAATCCGAATCCGTGAAACCAACAATCTTCTCACCACCTTGGCACTCATAGTTGATGTCACGATCGGTCGTGTCAACGAGGTACCTGGGTGCTCTTAGTGCAGAGAGCATGGAAATGTGCCTTGGTGCAATGCATGAATGTGCAAGGTTGTTAATAGTGAAGGGTATTTTAGGACAGGTAGTCACAACAGCATATATTAGGCTGTCAATGAGACTTTGGTACACATTGATATTGACTGCAGCACTTTCATCATTCGACCAAGCACCTTTTCTGATCTTAGAGAGGTCATTGGGTGACATAAGGGTGTGCATCCTTTTTTTTTTCTCAACAGATCACCAAATCTGACCTACATACCACATACATACTTCTCTTGGCCATTCTCCAACCACTCATCCTTGACCGACTTGTGAACCTCCACGCCAAGGTACGTGGATACCTCACCCAGATCCTTCATATGGTACCTGTCAGCAAGCACCTCCTTGACCTAACCAATCAGCTCCAAGCGTCGAGACACAGGCAAGATGTCATCCACGTACACCAATACATACACAAGCTCTCCATCCATAAACATGATGTACCAGGCCTCATCGCATGCAGCGTGGTCAACCTTGCCGCAATCACGGTTGCATCAATCTCCTCATTCCATGCACGAGGTGCTTACTTGAGCCCATGGAGAGTCTTGCACAAGCGATACGCTCTACCTGTATCAGGGTCAAATCCCTCAGGCTGCCTCACATACACCTCCTCTTGAAAGACTCCATTGAGGTAAGCATGATCAACACCCTCATGTTGTACATGCCACCCTTTCATCGTGGCTTCTGCAAGAAGCAGTCGACCTGAGTTGAGCTTGCCCACAGGGGCAAATACCTGATCATAACCCTTCTCGGGCTCCTGAGTGGACCCCTTAGCAATAAGACGAACATCGTGCTATACCGCATTATCCTCCAGGTCGACTTTCTAGTGGAAAACGTACTTGGCACCAATGGCCTCCTTAACTGGAAGTCAACTGGCTCTGAGTCCCATACCCCCATAGTGCGCATAACATTCACCTCCTTCTCAGCACATTCCTTCCATGCAGGGCCCTCCAGTTCGCGCAATGCCTCGACTAGCATGTGTGGGACATCATTGGTGCTTACACCTGTTAGCGAAACACCCTCCACCTCCCTGGCTAAGAACACCAGCATCCCCCCCTACCTCCTCACCACCTGTACTAGAGCGGACACCAAGCACATGCAAACCTATAACCAGTGACATATATGAACTCGTAGATAGAGTGACATGACACTAACCAGAGGAGGAGAAATAGGAGGAATACAGGATAGCGGAGCGCCGCTGAATGGCCAAGGGGCCGTTGAGATGTTGCAGAGGAGCAGGAGGTTGCTACACCGACACACTTAGAGTTGTCGGAATCCCCCCTTCTCTCTCTCTTGTTCCCCTTTTCCACTCCCTCCTTCCCAACCCCTCCTCCATTCTTCCCCTCAGCTCCAACTGTTCACTCTCTCCTCAACCCTCCCTCGCTGTCATGCCACTCCCTGCCCCTCTCCCTTGCTACCCTTCATAGTCTTCACCCCACATTCTCCTTACCCTTAACCTCGGCAACCTGCTGTGTAGCACCTTCCTGCCCCCTCCCATGACACTTTGAATGTAAGCTCAGCTTACTGCTACCCCATCCGGCTGCTTATCATGGCCTCGTCTAGCACTACTTTTCTCCAGAGAAGAAATTACAGTAAGAAACAAGAACAGACAAATAGTAGCAGTCCCATGGCCCGTTCCACCTATTCTACCTCCAAATATCTTAGGTTAGGAGCTAGCATTCAAGGACATGAACTAGTTCTTAACACAAGGCTGCCTAGATATGCTTCCTTGCTCCCGCCAGCTGGTTACAGCATCTTCCAGCTTGGTCCGGACTCGGTGTCCGCACAAAAACAAAAACAAGCACACATGCACACAATCTTCGCATTCCATTCGCCACCCCTTTTACAACCTCCCACACACTACCTTGTTACCGCCCAGCTTCTTCGCCCTTCCTTCAATACAACAAGTTACCGCTTGACCCTTTGCTATTTCAATCGCCAGGCCCAGCCTTCCTCGGTTCGGCATGCCTCTCGAGCTTCCACAAAGGTCATCCCCGCTTTTATACAAATATACAGGCGTTACACCCCTTCTCAACCTATGTCATAAAACTAAAATGATCGCTTCAGTTTTCTGACAGCGGTGGCGGTGGTGGTGATGAAAGTGGCATGTTAGCGTCATCAACCACTGCTGAAGGTGGCGATAGTGGAAAGGGGAGGATCTGGGAAATTCCAGTAGCATCTTGCAGAACCCCGTAGCCTTGTCCCAATCCTTCCACATCACATTCTCAAGAAAATCAATATCTCGAGCAATGCGAATGCTCATATCATAAGGGTCCAGCATGCACCAACCCTTGCTCTCCATGTCCACCCCAACGCATACACACATGACATCGTGTGCATCAAGCTTGCCACCTTTCTCAAGCCCATGCAGTATGACACTCCCCATGCAACCCCAAATCTGAGCCATACCCACATGCAACTTCTGGCTGGACCGCGACTTCATCGGGGTGATGAAAGCAGGCAAAGGACTGTGGGTGACCCTGTTCTTCAACAACACCACCCACATTGATGCTTCACCCCACAAGCAAGCAGGAAAACGGGTGACGGCTCTTGCTCTGCCATCAACTGTGCACCACCCTATTCAGTCTTGCCACCAAACTCCTGTAACAAGCAAATCAGCTCATCCACTACCAAGGCATTCCATAACAGGGCTAATGCCTTCTGATTCCTCCTCTCCCACCTCAGCGGTGCATCAATCGATGCTGTTTGCTCCTCTGATCCTCCAAACTATCCCCATAGGTTATGCGCCTCTGCCCATTGTTCGACACGGAAGCCCCGAGTCCAATAGTTGCTCCCCTCGAATTTTGGTGCACTCTTATGAGGATCGAGAACTCTGTTTAGAAAAAATATTATGAGTCCTGGTTACAATACGAGGCTGTATATAGGAAGCAACCAGGACGTTACAGGAGTGTTCTGACAGTCTGAACCAACGGGAACAGAACCTTCCCAAATCGGAGCTTGGATTGGAGCTGGGATAAGTCCAAGTTGCGAGTATCCAAAAGGACTTGGTCTCTAACTGTGATTGTGTGATCGCGTCGCTGACGGTCATACTGCTTCTCGGAGTTCTGCATCATGGTGAGACGTCGCTGAGTCTTCTCCCACAGTTGCTGCATGGTGGTGACGAAGTTGTGAGCGCCTTGGGCGTGTGCTGGTGCGGTTGGCTGTTGTGGTGTAATGGGATCACGTCTGTAACATAGGAAGAAAGGGGGTTTCACTGAGGCCACGTGAGTCGCTTGTATGCAAACTCCAGTGTCAGTAACTGTTGATCCAGTGGCTAGTGTCGTCTTTGCAAGCTGTACGTACTAACTGTTCAACCACCTGGTTTAGTCGCTCTGTCTGTCCATCTGTCTAAAGGTGGTATGCTATCGCAAGCTTAGTGCCCAACAAACCCATTAGTTTTTGCCATA